GCAAGAGAGGCATGCTGTTGTTTGCCAAAAACTGGTGCAGAGATGGCTGCGTGAGCAGGTGCATTCTCATGGTGGCAAAACAAGTCCCCTGTCTACCACAAATCAGGTTTTTTGTTGCACACTGTTACGTAATCTTTTCAGAGCCTCTACATAGAAAGCTTGCTTAACAGTCTGACCTGGGAGAATGAACTCCAAATGCACTACTAGTCAACATTTTTGCCTGTTCGGGAAGTTGATAGATATAAGTTCACCATAATAGCTCCTACAAACGTCTAGAACGAGGTTTGTCATCAATCGACATTTCACCTGTTTTGAAATGAGAAAACCAATCATACACTTGAGTTTTTTCCCATAGCGCTGTTCTTGTAACCTGTGTTCAACACCACAACAGTTTCTACGGCATTTTTCCTGAGCAGGAAGCAAAATTTAACAGCTGCATGTTGTTCTCATAAATCAGCCATCACAAAAAGAGAGGTTCAAGTGAAATTACTTTTACAAAAAAATTCACTGTGACCAGAGAGAACCTTCCCAAGGAACACCACTGGGTGTACTAACTCAGAGTGAGTTGTACGAATGCTTGTCTAGAAGGAAAGCTCCACTCCACCCAGCCCAATTCTGTTTTTATGTGGGGTACCCCCTCGTATGCATCTTGTCTTTGTGATATGTATCCTTTAAAATAAAGCTATAAGGTAGAACTGGGTCATGGTAGTGTTTGCGGAGGGGAGCATGCAGGAACTAAAAGAATGATGTGTGGTTCTCGGTTCTATCCTGCACCTTGGTTGAATTATTCCTTCCTTATAACCCTTCTGTGGGGGGGGAGGGGATATCCAATTGGGCTTTGGGTCTCCACACCAAGCACCCTCATTCACATCAATATAGTTGTTTGTTTTGGATCTTATGATATCTGATACCCAATCCCGTAGACACCTCATGATCACACAGGCTGGTCTGTTTCTTCCATATAGGCTTATTTGTTTCCCTGTTGGATGGCTGCTTGTTTAATTTCAAGCCTTTAAGAACTAAGACCCTATATTTTTTGATAGCTGGGCACCATCTGCTCTCCTCATCACATTTGCTTATGTACCCATTTTGTCTTCAGTGATAGTGTCAGGAAGGTGAGTACCAAAGAGTGCCAGGTTATTAGAATAAAATGTTATTGTGTTAAGGGAGGCCTTGAGTAGAGGCCCAAAGTCTGTCTGCTTTCTTAATATATAAATACATATCTTAACATATAAATATATGTACATTAGCCTCTACAGTGAACCCTTGCCACTTCGCGCTTTGACTTCCGCGGCTTCACTCTATCGCGATTTTTGCGTAACAGTGCATGCTCTGTCATTACTGCCACTGATTGGCTCATACTGTACACGCTTGATGCCATAATAATATAATAAACAATAAATGATAATTGTAACATCCAAAATGTTTTACTGTATTTTCCCTTTTTCGTTTAATAAATTGGGTAATACGAGTGTAATGGTGACTAAAGGGTGTTTTTTCATGTCCTCTATGCTCTAACTACGAAAATATTTGATTTACAAATAAGGAATCCTACTTCGCAGAATTTCATTTATCACGGTAGGGTCTAGAACCGATTAACCGCGATAAATGAGGGTTCACTGTATACCTTTTATTATAAATTAGTATATTTACATATATACATGCCTACAGCTATAACTCTATAAATAGCTTTTATCTCCTATTTCTTCTTCTATTTCCTTTCACCTTCCTCTTATCCCACTATCATGCTCACCCTCCATCTGGCTCTTAGTAATTCCTCTCAGATACACTGCACTTGATTAAACCCCACCAGGCATTATACACCCTCCTTGCCATCAATTTTGGATCTCTTGTTCCCTTATCCCTGAGTTTGTTGGCTCCCCACTCCCTGTCCCTGGCCCCTCCTCCTTGCCCATGTCCCCTCCAGAACCACTGGTCCCGTTGTTTTCTCCTCGGGATTGTTCGTCCTGCCTGTCTTATATAGACAGACATGGGGCAAAAGAAAAGCAAAAACAGAAAAGAAAAAAATAGATAGTTCCAGGTCTGGCTGCTGACCCTTATGTATGTTTTCCGATCAAAACAAATCTGGCTGGACTGGAGTACACGTACTGGCACAGAAAAGAGCTCTGGACACATGGAACTCAGGACAGATAAACCCCTCAGAAACAGTAGTGGGAGCAGCGATATCATGAGGGGAGGGGGTGGCGGGGAGGGGGAAGGGGAAGATAGGGGGAACCCTTCACAAGGCTGGATATATAGTTCCCCCCTCCTTGCCCCCCTCCACCAAAGGGGACAAATAACAGAAATGTGGGTGAGGGACACAACAGACAGTAAGATATGAAATAATAATAACAACACATAATTGATCAAGGATTCACGAGGGTGAGGGAGGGAGGGGAAAAGAGAAACTAATTCCAAGGGCTCAAGTAGAAAATGTTTTGGAAATCATGATGGCAACATATGTACAAATGTGCTTGATACGATTGATGTATGGATTGTTATAAGAGCTGTAAGAGCCCTCAATAAAATGATTAAAATAAAAAAATATATAACAATAATAAAATAAAGCTCTAGTTTTCCATGAGTTCCACGAGTCATTCTAGTGAATTATCAAACCTGTGGGTGCAGTGGGAGCCAGGTGGGCAGAAATGTGTGTGAGGGCTAGGAACCCTGAGCTCACACTTGGTATCCTGAGGAGAACTCTTGAATTTGTAGCCAGCAAAAGGTGTAAAAGCCTACGTGTTGTTGTCAGGTAAGTGTTGGGTTGCTAATTACAAGGCCGTTAGTTTAAACCCACTAGTCTCTCAGTGGAAAAAATAGATGAGGCAGTCTTACTCCCATAAAGATTTGCAGTTTCAGGAACCATATAAATATCACTGTGAGTCAGAATCTGCTAGATGACAGTGAGTTTATGTCAATCGTGAGAGAAGTTCCAGGCTTGTGGCTAGCACCTGAAATTTAAGCCAAATTGGCAGTCTCTTGGACTTTTGAAGTTTAGCCTCGTTCTGGGTGGTTAGTGATGCAGAGGTGCTTGACTTGCAGCTGGTGTCAGTACAGAGTAGGAAAGGAAGCAGTGGGATTGGTGTGGTTTTCCTGGGCAAGTCAGTAGAATAACATAACGCTGACAAAGACAAAGTAATATACACATGCTGTTTAGATATATGAAGGTAAATGAAAGAATTAGTTGAATTGAAAGTGATTGGTTCTGGGGAAGTGGTAAGCAGCAGGAGGCTGGAGGAAGTCAGGTTGTTTCTGGAGAAAGTCTTGTTGGCTTATTGTTTCCTTAAACTGCAAGTATATATAACTGATCAAAAGTAAAATAATAAAGTTTTGCATAGTTAAAAAAATCAAAGGTTGTAATAAAGGATACAGTGTCACACAGACCCTTACATCTAAGATACTTTTTACTGTTAACATGTGAAAGACAATAAAGATAACTTGGACTCATTCTATTATTGTACAGATGTGGAAACTGAGGCAGAGAGAGAGAGAAAAGTGAAATTAAGGTTAAAGAGAGTGAGCTAGGGTCCAACCAGGAAACAATGATCAGCCAAGACTTCTATAGCCTTACAGGGGGTAAGATTCAGGTCAAATGAGGGACAGCAGTCTGTGACTGACTGCCAGCAGAGATCATGAGGCATGGTCACAAAACTGCTGTGAGTGCTCTGGGACCTGCCGAAAAGGCACCTGTGGCTGACTAGAATGAGGTGAGGTAAATGAAGCAGGTAAATATAGGCATCTAGTGGACATGTCATGAGGTTAGAAAATATAATCACTATTTTCACCAAGGTGCTCATTTGCCCTTACTTCCTCATCCACAGAGCTGAGGGAGAAAGTCCACTATTCATTAACATAATGACACTCTTGATTAAGCAAACTCAGTAACTGCTGGAGCTAGATACAAGTGGCATATTTGGAGAAATCAAGAACTGGTTTCTAGGCCCCTAACTAGAGCTGTGCACACTTACTACACAGAGGCTTTGTTGGTTTCTAAAGGTCATTTAAGGAAGACTATGGCTGACATTTCACTTCAAGCTCTAACATTTGAGCATTTGGGCCAAGACACTTGATTCTTTAAGAAAAAAACCATCTTTTTTTTTTTTTTAAACATTTTATTAGGGGCTCATACAACTGTTATCCCAATCCATACACACATCAATTGTGTAAAGCGCATTTGTACATCGTTTCTCAAAACATTTTCTCTCCATTTAAACCCCCGACATTAGGTCCTCATTTTTCCCCTCCCTCCCCGCTCCCCCCTCCCTCATGAGCCCTTGATAGTTTATAAATGGGTATTTTGTCATATCTTGCCCTGGAAAAAACCATCTTAATGCCCAGAGGCAGCATTCCAATTGCTTACATTTCCTTAGAAAAGAGGAAGTGTACACAGAGTAACTAGAGTAAGGTTTTACAGTTGGATCTTAATTTACATATATGCAAAATGTGCATTTTTCTTTATAGCTTACTTACTGGGAGGCTATCTATTTTAAAAGGGTAGCTCTGTATGAGTTACCTGAACAGATAGTTTATAAAATGGGAGCAGATACACAGAGCCCACCCACCTCATCCACCAGATTTGGCTTTGAATCAAACATTCATTGGCTGATCTCCAAAAGTAACCACTTCATAGCATCAAGATTTTCCACCATCAATGGTGTTAAAGAAATATCAGGCATTTCAGACATATTTGAGTGATGACAAAATTCACTGAGAAAAACACATAATCTCTGGAAGGGAGCACCCCTAACTAAGAAAGATGAATTCTATAAACTAGGCTAGAGATCTCCTGAAGTTAGCTCCACTTCCCACCCAGCTCTCTAACCCAGAGTTCACAGACCATCCATGAATGTTTCTTTACTTTGACAAGTTTCTCTGAGACAAATCACGAGCCAAAGACTCTACAAATGGACAGGGGGCTGTGATTATGGGTGTGAGGCAAGGCTAAAGTCAGACTCTAGGGTCTGAGACTTGCTGCAGCTGGTCCCGTGATCTGCTCTTACCTGTGGGGGCCTGCATGGCTGAGCTGGGGATAGTGGCAGCATCTTGGGGCACAGTGCTGGTGTCCGGTTCAGGGGTGCTTGTTGTTGGTGAGGTGGGTGGTGGGTTCAGCAAAGTCCGAGGTTTTCTCTGTCAAAATGGAGGGGGAGAAGTTTGCTACCCATGCTATGTAACTTGTCTTCTCATTCCTGTAGTCAGAGTATTTCACTCACCTAGGCAACAAAAATATCACTGTGGAGGGGACTGTTTGATCTTTAGTTTCCACATGGCATGGGTCCGGTGCTCTTCAAAGCCCTTTTTCTGAGTGTATGTACAAGAGGGCTCTGTAGAGCCAAAGCTTAACTTTTTTTTTTTTTTTAAACTAGATCCAATGTTATCACATAAAGTTCCAGATTTTTTACTGGTTGGGTGGGCAAAAGCAAAAACAGAAAAAGTATCGTTGTGGCTAAAATTTACCTTGATGTTTTGACTTTATGTCACTCTCTAAAAGTAGTAACAGCTTGTTCTCCAACTCTGTAAACTACTTCCCCCTGCTTACCTCTTCGGCTATTCTTTATTTCAGACTTTATACTCTAGTAATAATATCCAACTGTATTGCTTCTCTAAAAATCATGTGGTTTTCCTTGGTCTACATCTTTACCATAATAAACTGTCCCATCTGTCTGGCTTGTCTTTTTCTCTTTTGAATCTTACAAACTTCAGGGAGCTTTTCCAGACATTCCCTAATAATTATTGTCTTCTAAGACCTACACTTTGTATTGTTGCACATCACAATGTATTATCATTATATGTTAATACACTAATGTTCTCTGGAGTACTAACGCAGGGTGACGAGATCAGAGGGTTATTTCCAAGAAACAGTTTTGTTTTTATAAACTTTATTAATTTGGTTGTTGAGATGATATGTAGCAAAACACACAGCAGTTCAACAGCTTCTGTATGTTTACTGACACTGATTATATTCTTATCGTGCAACTGCTCTCACTCTCCTTCATTGGATTGCTCCTCTCTCACTATGAAAAGCTCACTGCTCTCAAGGTTTCTCTCACATTGTCTGAGTGGTTGTCAGTGTGATCACATACAGAGAGGTGTTAAAAGAGCACAATGGTTATGACAGGCCTTATTTACTAGTGGAGCTAAACTACTGCTCAGTTTTAAGATTACTGCAGGGAATAAATTTTGGTTTAAGGTGTAAAAAATGATCTCAGGGCAATTGTTTTAGTGGTTCATCTACCTTCCATGGCTCAAGAAAATCTGGAATCCATGAGAATCTTAAATTCTATTCTGCATTTTCTCCCTTTTAATCAGGGTTTAGAGCTTTCCCCCAAAGAATCTCTGGTCAAATTGTTCAGGAATGGTGGGCAGAAACTACACAGTCTTTCTGTTCTCCTGGCAAAGGCGGCCATTATGCGGGGAGGCAATAGCCTCATATACCATATCCTCCTGCTGTTCCCAATTTGCTTTCTTCCTCTGTTGTGCCAGATCAATAGAGACCGATTGTTGTGCCTTGGATGGCTGTTTGCAAGCTTTTAATACTCTAGGCACTATGCAATGAACAGAAACACTAAACATGTTATTAAGCCAATTAACTGGGCTGTCCCATGAAACTTTAACCATAAAGCTTCATATCAAAAAACACAAAATCCTATGAGGTGTTGGTATACATAAGCAGCCTTAGCAGCTACTCTTTTTTGATCATTGTTGTCCAAATGTTCAAATTATCAAACAAGTTTTCTCAATTCAACTTTTCAAAGTTAAAATAAGTCAACTGTGCAACCCTACTCTTAATCAATGTGATATTTCTACCACTGTTAACCTGCTGTTCTCCCTTCCCCCAATGGTAACCACCATGGTCTCTATACATTTGCCTTTTCTTGTTTTATTATATAAGTGAGGACTTATAATATTTGTCCTTCTGTGATTGAATTATTTTGCTTACCATAACGTCTTTATCCATCTATACTGTAGTATGTAACAAGACTTCATTTCTCCCATAGACTGAGTTATATTTCATTTTATTTATGTACCACTATTTGCTAAACTATTCATCTGATAGTGTCTAGATTGTTTCCATCTTTGGTAATTGTGAATAGTGCTGCAGTGTACACTGTTTTGAGTCTTTGCTTTAATGTTTTGGGCTACATACCTATGAATAGAACTGCTGGGTCATATTGTGGTTCTATTTTTAGCTTTTTGAGCTACAGTCACACTGTTTCCCACAACAGCTGAACCATTTTGCATTCCCACCAGTAATGGACAAGGGTTCCAATTTTCTCACATCCTCACCAACATTTTTTTTCTTTTTAAAATCTTAAGTCATCTTCGTGGAAGTAAAATGGTTATCTCATTGTGGGTTTGATTAGTCAAGAAACAGATTTTAAATAGCCTTTCTGAATGCTAGCAATGATCACCAGGATACAGATTCACAAGGGCTCAATGGTGGGAGCCATCCAAACGGATCTGCCTTATAGGAGAGTATTATGATAGCACTGAGGATAGCAGTACCTATGAAAGCAATCATGCAGCCCTCATGAAACACTACAAGCACACATGGTACATGCTTTAAAATTACTAAGAATGAAAATCTGAATAAGTAATAAGTCAAGGAAGATGAGTAAAACGAGTTCACTATCACCAATTGGATTTCTTGGGCACCCAGAAGAAAGAAGTCTGCTAATATGCAGAAGAAAACAGAAGTATTACTATTGATATAGATACATTTACACATTTTTAGATATATCACCTCATTTATTTTTACAGGTGAGAAAACTAGGGCTCAGAGCTTTACCCCAAGAAATACTCCCAAAGTAACGCAGCTGTAAAACACGAAGATCAGCTTTAAACCTAAGTGTTTAGTGTTTCTGACTTCAAAGTCTGAGCTCTAGTCATAAGATCATTAACTTCAGAATGAAGTATTAAGCTTGCAGGCAAAGAGGAAGACACACTACCCTTGTAGAAAGCAACAGGAAGGTATACAGAGGGGAGTTAGACAATCAACTGCCATGACATAAAATATAGGGTAAGATGATCATTATTTTGATAAAGAGGGTTGGACAGAAAAAGGACTCCAGTTACAATGTCTGTGACTGTCTAAGGAGGCAAAACAGAGGCAATCATAGAATAATAATTTTGATGGATCTTAAAAGTAATTTAATCCAACTATTTATTTAATACTTCAATTCCTCTCTCCCTGCAAACTTCTCTTGCATATTTTCATTCAGCCCTTGAGGAAATATCTCTAGTGATAAGGGTTTACTACTTCCATTATGGGAAGATTTAATGGGCCCTTTTGTTAGAACAGAACCTGTGTGAGTGAATTTTTGTATGTGGTTCTGGTTCTGTCTTGCAGCTTCACAAACAAGTTAGCATCCTCTTTACCCTGACTGTCCTCAAGACGTCCTCACAGAATATAAGCATGGCTTCTCTGGCCTCGGCATCCTCAGGTCTTTTAGCCTCTCCTCCACAAGAGGAGGATGAGAAGGGAGTAATGCAGACAAAAATGAACCAGAACCTCAGTTAGAAGGTAGTGGTAATGGATCAAGGGAAGCAGCATTATACACAAATATCAGCATGTGGCAACAATAATTCAAAGCCAATAAATAAGGGACAACTGACATTAGTAACATCATCAGTATCATCCATTCATCTGTCTGTCTGTCCATCTATCGTCCATCCACTCACCCATCATCCATTCATCTATCTATCTTAAATTTAGTGAATATCTCCCAAGAAATTGAGATGCAAAGCACTGTAAGAAAAAGAGGGAAGAAAGATTTGGTTCTTGACTTTGAGAAGCTCATACTCTAGAGCAACTGTTCTCAACCTGTGGGTCACGACCCCTTTGGGGGTGGAATAACCCTTTCACAGGGGTCACCTGATTCATAAGAGTAGTGAAATTACAGTTATGGAGTATCAACAAAGATAATTTTATGGTTGGGGTCACCCCAACATGAGGAACTGTATGAAAGGGCTGCAGCATTAGGAAGGTTCAGAACCACTGCCCTAGAAAGATTAAGGTCAGCTGAATCAGCTAGCCAACCAATAACTAAACATACAAGCCACAAACAAACCACCTGGGCAAGAATTTCTGCAATTGTGGAGGCAAGTCATCCATGATAGAGGTAAGTCATCCATGATAGGGCAGTATTGACCATGGAACTAGAAGATCTAGGGATAAATCTCTGTAGTCTTAACCTTTTATTAGTTATGTGACCTTAAAAGATGTCATTTCACATCTCTAAATTTCAGTTTACATAAAGTTAAGACTACTTATCTTCCAGGGCTTTGTAAAGGTTATATGTGCTATGTATGTGCCTAATACAGAGCCTCATACCAAAAGGCATTCAAAACACACACACACAAACACACACACACATACACACACACACCTTAAAGAGAGAGAAGACACATAAAAAGACGTGCATTTTCAGTCAATCTGCTATACTTCTTCACATACCTGGGTATCCATTCTGGGAAGGTTAACATGAAGCATGGCCTTCTTTCTATGGAAGAAGTCAGATGATAATCCTCTCAAATGTAACTTTCAAAGTTAAAATTTGTTTCTTCCTCTCATTATCGTATCTTGAATATTATCAACTAGCAAGTAAGCAGAGATGGCAACCCTGGAGATTCCTTTTAAGAGCTTACACAAAGTGGAGAATAGGGTCAGAAACACCCCTTTCTAAGATGGATGGATGTGGATGAGTTATCCTTTTACAATCTCTTTGTTCTTTCTGTAGGAATCCACATTTTTACCTACCTTACTGCCAGGTTTGGGACCTCTCTTCTTTGGAAATTTCAAAGGTTCAGCTGACTTAGATGGGGTAGAGATGGAATGGGAAATTAGGGTCTTGGGTGTCCGGCCCCGCTTCTTTCCTGGTTTACGCCCCTTCTGCCCTGGTTGATGCTCCAAGAGAGTTTTGGTGCTGCTGTGGGTGCTGGACTTCTCAGTGTTCACATCAGATGCAGGATAGGAATTCTTTGGAATCACAACTGCAAGAAAAAGACTCATTCTATTACCCCCCACCCCACCTGCAGTCCCATCCCAGCCAGAAGAAAAAGGACTTGTCACTTCGGCTCAGGTAACAGAAGCTCGTTTCCTGACATTTGACCCAAATGTTAGATCAATCTTAAATGAGAACTGAAATTAGACTGGCTAGAACTGGAGGTTCTTAATTACGTATGTCTGGCAGATAAGAGAGAGAGAGAAAGAACACTTGTTTTTTTTTTTCTCTCCAAGTCATCTAAATTGAGTTGAAGGCATATAAACAAAGTCACGGCTCAGAGCTGGCTGCTCAGAGTTGGAATGTCTCTTAGAATTCTACTATCCTCTCCTGCTAGAATGAAAACTGGAGGCTCACACGAGGGAGGGAGGAAGTCATACCATGTGAAAAACTACTGTTTTGAAACTGGGCTCTAACAACAAACCCAGGGATTTTCTATGTCAATCTACTTGGCATTTTGGTGTGATTACTGTAGTGAGTAGTGAAAGATATGGCAATGTAAATCTGATAGATTCTCTCCTTACCTTAAAATTCTCTGCTTCCTATTACCTTTCATCTAAAGTTCAAATTTTTATGCTGATATTCAAGGACTTTTGTGACTTTGTCCATCCCTGCTCTATAGTTATGTCATTCCCTATAGTAGATCTACATTCTAGCCCCACTGTTTTGTGAGCACCATTCCTTCATGTGTACTGAACACTATTCTTCTTAGGCATCTCAATACTCAGTTTCAACCCTCATCTCCGGATTGAGGCCTCTGATTACCATCCAACTAAGTTGGTTACTCCCATGTCAAAAGTTGTCTTATGTACAAAACTTATGTACACAACTCTGTTAGAACAGTTTAATTTTACCCCAGTCATTTGTTTCTTCCTTCAATGGCATATTATTTTGAGGAAAGAAATAGCTAATTCACTCCACAAATAGCTATTGAGATAGAAGGGTGAATAAGCTCTGGAGATAGAAGAGTGCATAAAACACAGTCTTCACCCTCACGGACCTTATCTCCTACTGGAGGAGGCAGAAAAAAACATACACTATAATATTAGGTAATGCTAAGTGCTATGATTAAAAGAAAGGTATAGAGATAAAATGATAGAAAGGTAGAGAGCTAAGGAGGTGACATGTGCACAGTCCTTACAAGGTAAATTCTTACAAGGACAGTCCTTACAAGGCTTTCCAAGAGAAAGCCTGCCAAATAGAGGAAATTAATAAGTGCAACATTCTGAGATAGTTAGTGCAATTGAAATTAGCAAAGTGGAAAGTAGAAAGAGTTTAGGCTAGAGTGGGTGTTAGAATAAATGTGAACTTATTCAAAGTCTGAAGGGTTCTGAGAAGTGAAAATATGTATTTACAAGGAACAGGCTGGCTGCTCTGTGAGGAGAGCAAGAGCAGAATTAGGGAGGCTAGTTAATGAATTAAAGGAGGCTGGTGGCATAGTGGTTACTCTGGTAACCTAAGGGTCAGCAGTTCTAGCTGCAGACCTTGGGAGAAAGACAAGGCTTTCTACTCTCATAAAGAATTACGATCTCAGAAACTCACAGGGCAGTTCTACTCTGTCCCACAGGGTGGCTGTGAGTAGGAATTGGCTTGATGGCAGTGAGTGTGAGTTAATCATTATCTCACTGCTTAATCTCCAAAACTTTCACCGCTATTGATTCCAGCTCACAGGCGTCCTATAGGACAGGGTGAACTGCGCTTGTGGGTTTCTGAGACTAACTCTTTACAGGAATAGAAAGTCTCATCTTGCTCCTGCAAGAAAGCACCAGGTGGTTTCAAATTGCAGACCTTGTGGTTAGCAGCCCAACTCGTAACACACTATGCCATCAGGGCTCCCTTTCTCAGGACTTAGGGAGAAGAGAATGAGGAGCATTCATGCTCCCATACTGGATGTAACAGACTGTGGCAGTGGAAAATTGCTGATGCAACAGAAAAGCCAAGTGAATTGTTTTAAAAGCTGTTGTAGAGTTGTAGAAATCACGAGGGTTAGATAAACTGAAAATCCAGACATGGGAGAGGCCTTCTGAGGTAGTTGGCATTGTATTTTTTCCCTGAGGGCATTTACTAATATGGGGCATGAACTGAGCTTTGTTTGGCCCAGGCAAAAGGCTCTACTGGGGAATAGAGAAATCTTAAGAGAGGCTTCATTGATAGGTGGAAACATGAGGCGCCTCATCAAGTACAGCCAATTTCCCCCATAGGATATTTGCTAAGTTGTGGATGCTGCAAAGCTAGGCTAAGAGCTTCTTAAAGACAGAATGAAATCTCCCGTACTCTTGCAGTTTCAGGCAGCAAGATCCTGTTAGGAAGAGATTAGCGGAAACAGCTGTTCTCATCTTTACAAATACATGCCATATTTTGAAACTGTAGAGAGTGAGATGAAAGAACTAAGCCCCCAAAACTTTTAAGGATAGGACAATTTCTTAGTCTTTCAGGGATGGGAGACAGAGAACCGCTAGTTTTTCAGTCAAAGCATAAGTGGGCACATGTTTTAAAAAAAGTGACAACAAAAGGAATAATCCAGCCCTGGTCTAACTTAATCCATGAGTATCTTGAAGTGATTATGCCCTCAACCTCTTAACCTTACAGAAGAGTTATTTGATGGAAGACATAGGTAGGAGTTTTGACAATACATTTTTTATAATACCCAGGACATAATGAAGAATTATTAAGTACAAAAAGGAAGAAAACAACCTAATTGGTAATTGAGAAAATATAGGCGACAGGAGATCCATATATGATCCAGGAAATGGAACAGATTTTAAAATAATAATTAATTCGCATGTTAAATAAAATATAAATGTGAAAAAATATATAGATAATTGGAATCTATAAAAAATTGAGTGGCCATCCTAGAAATGAAAAGTACAAAACCAGAAATTAAGTAGTCTCCGGATGGATTTAAGGGCAGGCAAGATTTAGATTCATCAGAATGTTGTGTCCCAGAAACCCAGAAAGTGTTTTAAGAAGGTGAATCATTATGCTGGCTGTACGAACGAGATGCTGCTTCTAATAGAATTCTCCTGTCTTGCCTCTATGTCCACCAGAGCAAACCTATCTCTTGGTTAAAGACAAGAACCTAATTCTAGTAACATACCTGGTGAGCCGAGGCAAGAGAAATAGAGAATATTGGGGAGGGGCATTCTCTGCCATGATATGATGGGACCAGGCAAGAAGATGAGTGGCCACTAGAATCCTTTTTATTTTCATTTAAAAAATCATTTAATAGGGGGGCTCCTATAGCTCATAACAATTGTATCAAGCATATTTGTACATATGCTGCCATCATCATTTTCCTAACATTTATTTTCTATTTGAGCCCTTGGTATCTCTTTTTCCCCTCCCATCCTCGTGACCCCTTGATAAATTATTATTGTTTTCATAACCAGAATCCTTTTTAATTGTGTGGCTTATCTTCCTCTAGTCAGAATTCAGTTGGACCCTAGAGATAAGCTTTTACTTTGCAGACCTGGTAAGACTTTTTTTTTTTTAAAAGACTTTCTTAAAACATGTTCTTCTTTTTAAAAAAATCGATTTAAGTAGACAGCAAATGTGTTTAGAATGATGATGGCAACAAATATACTTGACACGATGGATGTATGGATTGTGGTAAGAGTTGTATGAGTCCCCAATAAAATGATTTTTTAAAATTCAGTAGCTAATTTCTATTTTTGACAATTTTGGGACAAGCTGTAAATCTTGAATCCCACACTACCTTCCAGGGTTCTAGAAATGTTGATGTGGTCTGGTGGGGCTCCATGTTCAAGATAACAATTCTTTTTCATAAATCTGCTATACATCTATTTTTTGTAGGAAATTTTTGATCAAATGAGAAAGGTGGATGTTAATCAAGTGACCCACGTTAACTATATCAAAGAAATTGCCAGATATGGAACAAACTGACATCAGTGTCTCTTGATGTGATATACTGAATATATTACATCATTTATGTAGTGCCAAAACCCTGAACCAGAAAAACCCAAACTGAGGTAAATTCAACAAAACAATTCACCTAGTATGTTTCACAAATTTCAAAACCATGAAAAAATTTAAAAGATAGAGGAACCATTCCAGATTCACAAGACTCAAGTGACATGCCAACTAACATAATATATGGTCCTGTATTAGCATCTTAATTTTTTTTTACTTATAAAGGATATTAGTAGAACAATTTTAAAAATCATATATTTGGTAATCAGAACCAAATTCTGATTCATGTGGCCCGATATACAATAAAAAAGATATTGCCTGATCTGGCATCATCCTCGCAATCTTTGCTATGTTTGAGCCCATTGTCGCCTCCACTTTGTCAATCCATCTCATTGAGGGTTTTCCTCTTTCTCACAGATCCTCTGCTTTACCAAGCATGGTGTCCTTATCCAGGGACTGGTTCCTTCTGATAATATGTCCAAAGTATGTGAAATGAATTATCTATCACCTATGCTCATGCCTAATGAACATTTTGGCTGTACTGCTTCCAAGCTACATTTCTTCATTCTTCCGACAGCTCACAGTATATAACATATGTTAATACTAAAATATTAATATAATTTATATAATACAGTATATTAATAAATCAATCATACCAACATTTAAGTAATATAATAACATATTTCTATTAACTATATGACATTACTAATTAATAAGATACTACAGAATATATAGAATAAATATTAGTATATAATATTAATTATATCATAGTAATGTTCTCTGTCAATACCATAATTCATATATATCAATCATTCTTTGGTATTCTTTAATTCACTGTCCAGCATTTGAATGCATATGAGGAGACTGAAAACACCATAGCTTGGGTCAGGTACACCTGACTCCTGTATGTGATATCTTTGCTTTTTAACTTTAAAGAAGTCTTTTGCCCAATGCAATGCAACACTTGATCTTGACTGTTGCTCCCATGGGTATTGATTGTGGATCTAAGTAAAATAAAATCCTTCATAACTTCAATATTTTCTCCATTTATTGCAATGT